GAGTTCCAGGAGGGCTCCAAGGCTGACCCGTCCATTGTCCAGGCCCTCTCTCTGTACGACGGGCTGGTATAGTGAAGGCTGCGCTGCAGTGAGTGTCCACCAGGGGGCAGAAGGGTGGGTAGAGTGCAGGCAGTACTCGCTTGTTAAGGTCTAGATCGGTGTTCTCCAGTTCTGGTCCTTGCGATCTGGAATCCAACAGGTTTTCTAAGTCTCTTTAACCTGTTGAACCCTGAAACCACGTCCATTGAGAGCACCACTCAGCACGAAATTTCCAACAACACAATATTTTTCCGAAAATTGGATTTTACCATTGGTGATACGTTGCCTTTGGTGTGGAAAGGTTGCTTAGTCTTTTTGGAGATAATGTTTTGATGCTAGTAACTTTATTTTCCTCATAAATGAGGAGAGGGTTGTATTAATCTTTTTGGAAGAAAATCTGAACCCTAACCCTAACCTGCTCAAACCCTTAGCTAGGGTTAGGGTTAGGAGTCGTAGAAAACGTAGAGAATATTTAATGGCATGACTGTGTTTTAAGACAGAAATGAAGTGCAGGAAAAGTGAAATTGCTATGTTATCTTCACATTTTTTTTTCTTGCATATATTGCTCTATAGACTGCATTGCTCTAAAGTGTTCTGTTGTCTAAATTGCCCTAAATGCAAAAGACTGAAAGAAAGTGGTTATTCTCTTCAAACTCCTGCATTTGGCATTGAATGCACTGGCACATTGACAGATACAGCCAAGATTTATTGGGTATTCCTGTCTGTTAACCCTTTGCACTCTTAGGCACACTTCAGTCAGAGGTATTAAAACACACACAGATGCTATAGTTACTGCACCTTGATCTCTGATCATAAATGTGGTTGGACATCTGTATCTGTATAAAAATGGCTTTGTAAGTTATCCAGGGCTTATGAGCTACAGGGGTGTTGAATCAATCCAGTTTGAAGTTTAATTGGGCCAATTTAGCCCTTCCTCCCAGATTCAAATGTTTTAAATGTAAAAGACTTTAGGATTTCAAGGAGCAGAGCTGGGAGCCCCTGCTATAGACTGTCTGCAGCTTTGGTTCACAAAAAGTCACAGTCAAGAGACGGATGAGAGAGAAAAGACAGGGATACAGATTAACCCCTAAGAGCTCAACTGAAATGAAACCGAC